TGTGGTTGTAAACTGACTAAGCAGAGTGAATACATATGCTTGAATGAGGGCCAGGGTAAACTTTAGGAATGTTAGGGAAAAAATAAGGTGATGATAGCCATTAAGTTGCTAACTGACATTAGGACTAAAGTAGCTCCTGCAAGTAGGTGAGTTAAGAGATGGCCTGCAGTGATATTTGCTGTAAGTCTTCTAGCTAGGGCTGTAAGTTTGGAAAAAAATAGGCTAATTGTTTTGATAACGATTAGTATTGAGATGAGTAGGACAAGTGTGCCTTGAGGTAGGAAGTGGGCTAGAGAGGCATTAGTTTTATATCAGAAACTTGTACTTAGGGCTCTGGTTCAAAGTGGAATGCCTATGCCTGCATTTGTAGATAGCTTTGTGATAAGAGTTAATGAGTGTGATAATAGACTTAAGAGATTTGTTGAGCCAGTAAATAGAAAAATTAGTATTAGTGACCATGTCTGAACTTTAATATTATGCATTGATATAATTTGTTTTAGAATAAGTTGTATTAGTCTTTATGATTAGAAGAGTAATGGCTGAGGTAGACATTAGACTGTAAATCGTAAGACAGGAGTAGTACTGTCTTTTTCTGTGATGTATGTATTTCCTATCAAATTACAGATTCAAAGGTGCAGCTTCAATTCTGCTGGGGCATCTCCCGCCTTTTTCCTAAGCGGGAGAAGTAGATTGAAGCCAGTTGCTCATCGGTTTTAACTGTTAACTGAAGGTTCACAGGTTAAGGCCCACCAGTCTAGAAGGGCTTTGCTTAAAATCAGAATACCTATTTTGCATACAGAAGTTGTGAGCTTTGGTCTTTAGAAGCAGAGATTAAGTAATTTTTACTTTCTTGGGGTTTTGAAAGCTCTAGTGTAACCTAAATACCTAGATTTAGGCATGTGATTCTATTCCACCAGCTGCTCCATGGGAGAGAGATGAGTTCATTGTTCTCCTCCTGTATGACTTAGAGCCTCTGAAAACCTACTAGAGGGTCATCTGTGAGTCAGTTCTGACTTGACTGCACATAACGTGCACAAATGTAAGTAAAAAATAAACTGTGCACATATATCTACCCAGAAATAGTCCGTTCTGCTAAATCCTGTAGCTCCATATAATTAGAAATGTAGAGCACTGGTGACTGACTCATGGTGGTGGTTATTGTTAGGCGCCGTCAAGTTGAGTACTACTCATAGCAACCATGTGAACAAAAAATCTGATCCCTATTCAATCCTGCACCATCCTGACACACAGGAGCCTATTGCTGCTTAGTGATAAGGAATTGTGCTACCAACTCAAAGGTATCAGTTCGAATCCACCAACAGCTGCTCCATAGGAGAAACATGGAAAGATAAGCAGTCTCTTCCTGTGAGATTTACTGCCTCTGAAAACCTGATAGGGTGTCAGCTATGAGTCTTCTAACTCGATGGCAATTAGCATCAACATTATGTGGCCAGTAGCTTTCACATTGTCCAGAGTTTCTGTGTTCAGATTTTTGAGGAAACGCCAAACTGTTTTCCAGAGTAGTTTTATCATCTTACAATCCTACTAATAGTGTATGAAAGTTCCCACCCCTCCAACATTTATTGCTTGCTGACTGGTTAAAATTTGCCACTGCTACTGGGTACTGGGGTGAAATGTTATCTCATTGTGATTTTGATTTGCATCTCTATTATTGCCAGTTGATTTTGAGCATTATTTCATGTGTCTGTTGGTCATCCATATTTCCAAACCTTTTTTTTTTAAATAATAAATCATAGTTCCATACAGTTAATGAGATTATTCATGAGATTATATACACAAAGAAATGTCAACAAAAGGATTTGATAGAGTACACATTAAAATTATTTCCCTAGTAAGGAGAGAAAGTGAGAATTAGACATAGGAGTATTGTAATTTTTTTGTAAGGATGTGTTTTAACATTTGTGTGTGCGTGCCCACACACATATTATCATCAAATATACCTCACTAAATATTTCAAGGTATGTGTTACATGGTTGTTCGGTACCATCAAGTCAACTTCAGCTCATAGCAACCTTGTGAACTGTCTCGCGCCAGTTGCTGCCATATTCAGCCCTGTTGTTGAAGTCATTTCACTGTCTCAGTCTCTTGAGGGCCTTCTTCTTTTTCACAAATCTGTCCAGGATCTCTTTAAAATGCTGATGAACTTGTTATATTACTCTTAAAAAAATTTATCTTTTAGGAATATATATTGTAAAAATATTTCTAAGGAGTAGTTCATGCGTTTTATAAAATAAACAACAATTTGTCTTTATTATCATCTTAATCCTTGTTTTAGAATTTGCTTATTTCGTTCATAGGTGCCGTTGATCTTAACATTTTTTGTAATCTTTTTTTAAACTACTGTAAAGTGAAATAATTTCAGTACATCATTGTTTATTTGGCCCTTTTATTTCTTATACTTAGGTTCTTTTTATGCTTGAATAAAGCATTGATTTGAAGATCCTTGATTATAGTGAAGATAGTAATGATTTGAATTACAAAGTCCTACATTATGAACATTTAAAATATTAATAGGGTCACTATGAGTCGCAAGTGACTCGACGGCACATAACAACACAACAACAACATAGCCAAATATTACCTGTGAGTCTAGAATCCTTGTCCCTTGACAAATGTAGATGGTATGTTTTATGCCTATTGATGGCTATCATGTTGATTTAATTTGGATTTTCCTCAATATGGTATTCTGTTCAAAAGTTACAGTAATTAGTATATTGTGGTATTGCATCATGGATTGGAAAAGAGGCCTCCAAATACCCAAATATATATATATGGAAATTTTATACATGTTATTGGAGAGGTGTGTTTTTATAATGTCAAGAAAAAAAATGGTCAGAGTTCTTATTCCTAACCTCATCTTTAGTGAAACAGGGACCTGTAATCTTATTTTCTATCATCAGACTGGCAGAACTAACTTCGTTCCACTCTTTATCCCTTTATACATAATTTATCACTGAAAATCGCTGACTGCCCCAGTACTCTGGATTCCTGTGTACCTCTGTAGCTAAAGGAACAGCCGATATCTCCAGCTAGTACATTATCAATTCTTATTTAAATTTTTTTAGCATTTATTTGTTTCTGGAGAATATAATGCTAATTTGTCTTTTATTTTCAGTGTAAATTACAAAAGTGCTGGAATTTTAATTTATATTCTTAATGGTTGTATTCCTAGATGTATAACAAGTATTCAGTAAATGTTAATGGTGTGTTATTCAGTAACCACTGCTAGGAAAAAATTGTTAGACGCCTGTCTCATCATTCACAAAAGTAAATTCTAGTTAGAGTAAAATCACACCCTAATAAAAGTGACAAGAAGCCTTAGATGTAGGTTCTGAAGAAACCAAACTCATTGTCATCAATTAAAGTCCAGCTCATAGCGGCCCCCCAGGAACTTTCCAAGACTCTACATCTGTGCTGTTGTGTACCATCAAGTCGGAACTGACTCATACTGACCCCTCAGCAGGCTTTCAGAGGTGGTGAGTTAGACCGGTGGAGAGTGTACATCCTTTTCCTCTGGAGCAGCCAGTAATTCAAACTGCATGCCCTTGAGATTTCAGCAAAGCTGCTTACCGCTGCGCCACCCAAGCTCCATAAATCTTGATGGTAGTTAAATTTCTGTGCTAACAAGAAATTTTCTTTATTAAATTAAACTTTTCATAAGCTAGTTCTACAAGTTTTACAACATGTTCAGTAATTTGGTTTCAATATAATTTTAAAACATATTCCTACTTTTTAACAAAAAAAGTGTTTATTGCTATAATATGTTCATTAGATTATTTCATTATTTTTGTGTGTAATACCACTAAGTAATTTCATTCTTCCCAACATTCTATATTTTATGCATACTTTTCCACTCATGTCCATTATTATTTTGCACATCAGTGCTTAATGAACATAAGCTGTGTTTGTCCCCTTTACTATTATGTTGTTGTTGTTGTTATTGTTGTTGTTATGTACCATCGAGTTGCTTGTGACTCATAGCGACCCTATGTACCAGAGCCCTAAACGCCGTTCTATCCTGTGCCAGCCTCGCTGTCTCAAACAC